GGGGTGGTGAGAAAGGATAAAGAAAAAAGGGGAGATATTTCTCATCATGCTCACGTCTCAATATGAAAACGCTTTAAAAGAGCAGGACTTGAGGACTTAGAGAGCAGTACCTATGCTCTGAAAGCCTTACATAATAAAACTATAATGACACTGCTGTGAGTTCAAAGTGAAATAATGGAAACCATTTCAAAGGGAAATAAATCCCTTCCTTAAATGCCTCTGTTTATCATCCTCACTAATGTATGGCCTTTGATATTTATATGGTTTCTTCTTTATGTGAGAAGAATGCATCCTCTTAATTTTCTCCTTGGGGTGGTGGTGTAGTGGTTAAGACTCAAGACCTGCAACTGGAAGTTACAGGTTCTATCTATATATTTTGGCCTAATTTGATTGTGCTTTCATTTTTTTCAAGACTGTCATACTTGACTGAGTTTAACACACTGATATAAAATAAAAGCAGAATGTTTGATTCTGACCATGAATATATAATTTAGTATCTATTTTAAATATTTTGTAAATATCTGATTCCTATAAACCTTGCAAACTTTGGCATATCTAGCTTTTCCTCAAAACTGAAAATTTAAGCAGCACAACATTTTCTAGCAGACTGTTTCTTGATAGACTGATCTAATTACTTTGGCTCCTGAAGTTGTGTAGCAGCCAATCAGACTGTAACTGGCAATTTTCTGGCAAAGTCATCTCTTGCTATTTTGTATACAATATACATCGGAATGTACTGTGGGCTGTCGTGGATGTGCTGACTGAGAATATCACCATTGTGCCCTTGAGCAGGGCACTTGACCCCAGGTTGCTCCAGGGGGATTTGTTCCTGTAATAAGCCAATGGTTCATGTCATTCAATAGTGGCACTGTGTGAATGTCACATAAACAAAATCTACCATAAATAAAGATTCTAATCTAAGCTGTTAAAACCAGTTCCAACATGATCATATAAGGGTGCAAGGACAAAAAAAGAAAAGAAAAAAAAAGATGGAAATATTTAAGTGTGACATACCCTAGCGAAAAATAAGTGTGCTTAATTGCACTGAATGTGCATTGAATTTTATTTCAAATGCTAAAAAATGAGGGGGGGGGAACTCTAAATAATATAACGAAACAAAATGCAACTGAATTCATGACTTTCATGATTTCTTAAACTTGTCTATAGGAATCAAAGTGATACATTCAGTATTTTTTTTTTTAAGTATATATTTTTCCTTTATAGTACTCTTTTTACATGTATGCTGCTCTTTCACAAGGGTATGCATGAATAGATTGATAAACAAACGTATTTTAAGTATATAATCTTTCTCTCTCCCCCACATACACAGAGTGGCTTGTTAGAATGTGATGTTTAAACTCTTTTCTCTGAACACAGGCAGAATATCATCCCACAACAGGGACGGTAATGAGAAGTGAGAGGAACGCTGTGTGCCTAATTACTGTTCTTAGTAATTAGTAATAAGCTGCCGCTGTTTTCTTGACCAGAAGATGTGTGTGTGGCATCTCCACGTCGAGGTAAACAGCAGATGTAATCACACGTCGTTGAGCAAGTGAGTAAATAACCTGATAATTTGTGTTAATGAGTTTGTTTTGAAGCTACGAACTCATCACTTGGTCATCCTGAGTTGCACCATTGAACCACATCTCAGTTTAAAATTTCAGGGAAAAGCTTACAATGACGAGCTCTGGTTTTATCTTGATCTCCACGAATAGGGAAGTTAGATACTGCTTTGGGATGTGTGTGTGTGCATGAGACGGGATCTTAAGTCTTCAGCTGTGCTGTATCTGTTCGCACTGACCATAATGAACAACCCCTCTCCTCTCTCACACTCTCTCCTTCTTTCGCCACATGTCTGTAGTCTGTCGTCTCACGGAAGGGCCAATTAGGCTGGTGTGTGGGAAGAGGAAGCACATGACAGGGACAAAGCCAAACACTTTACTCTCAATTACTCTCCCTCAGCAGTCACTGACTTCACTCACACACATCCACAATAACTACAAATACTGATGTAGACTTACGGGAGTCTATAGGAATCAAAGTGATATGTGGAATATAGCAACTACCAATTTCTTTAAAGGGGCCACAACTTACTTTTTCCTAGTTATTTCATATTTCTTTCTTTTTTTTATTACAGAAATTACACATTGCACCTTCAAATCAAGTTATTGTGGGTGCTCACCATCATCCTCCTCTGGCGGGCCGTCGTATGATTTGTCGATTGCTGCCCGGAAGCTCTCATTGCAGCCACGCCCTCTTACCATGTGTGGGCGGGGCCTATGGAAGGGCAGCAGCTCATTCCTCTTGGCCTCTGTCATGGCAGTCTGAAGACTCTCTAGAGAACTGGACTTTTTCAGGCCTAGCGTGGGTCCCAACTCCACCCCTCCACTCACTGAGAAAGGACAAAGAGGGAAAATAAAACCACATAATGACACTTTATTACAGTGCTTGCCAAACATCTTCTCCACACATTTTTGCAGTTAATTCAAATAAAATGAAACATTCAGACTCCATTTGAAGTTTGTGTTTAGATCATTTCAATCAATGTGATGTTTTTGTACATTTAAAATTAAGAAATTTTGGATTTAAAGGGATAGTTCACCCCAAAATGAAAATTCTGTCATTAATTACTCACCCTCATGCTGCTCCAAACCTGTAAGACCTTAGTTTATCTTCGGAACACAAATTAAGATATTTTTGATGAAATCTGGGAGCTCTCTGACCCTGCATAGACAGCAACACAACTGAAATGTTCCCAGGCCCAGAAACGTAGTAAGGACATCGGTAAAACAGTCCATGCGACATAAGTGGCTCAAATTTAATTTTGCGAAGCTACGAGAATACTTTTTGTGCGCGTTCTTCTGGGGAAATTCTAGGTCTGGGAACATTGCAATTGTGCTACTGTCTATGCAGGGTCAGAGAGCTCTCTGATCTCATCAAAAATATCTTAATTTGTGTTGCGAAGATGAACGGAGGTCTTCTGGGTTTCAAATGACATGAGGGTGAGTAATTAATGACTATAATTAATTTTTATTTTGGGATGAACTATCCCTTTAAGTTTGAACATCTGTCATTGAAGCAATATACTTATACTAATAAGTTAATCAAAATTGTCAGCATTTGTGGCATAATATTATTGCCACAAAAACAGACTTAAAGTCGATTTTATAATATTACACTGAAAATATAAGTGAGTGATTTTTCTACATGTGTTAACACATGCATTTTATGTTTTGTGGCTAAACTTAAAAAGTTAATCAACATTTTGCCACAAATGCTGTTGACTTCTGAACCTGGAATATTTCTTGAACTTGTATTGAAAAAATGTTATTCATACTGTCATCATACCGTTTGCATACTACATTTCTTTTTTCTTTTTGCATTTGTAATTTGTGCAAAAACAAAGACATTAACCTAAACTTGAACTTTAAATCTATCTTTTTGCTGCCTAGCAATCACTGGTATTAGGAAACTTAATTCTAGCATCAGCGCTTTATGAAAAATTTGTTTCGGTGCTAATCAAAGATGGTGGGTCAATAGAGACCACTGGAGCATTTCCAAATGCATTCTGGGAAGAAGACAAAGCAAAACGTTAATAATGTTTGAACTACCAAAGGTGGATCTTTATAAGCCTGAGCATGTATGTGAGTGTGTGTGAAATTGTAAACACTCTCTCTCCTCTAATGAAAATGACTTTTTAAACATGCGCCTCCACAGGGAATGATGGATGAGAGCTCAATCCCGGGACTCGTTTCTCCATCAATCAGAAGCACCATCTCTCTCTCTCTTTATCTCCCTCCTTTCCATCTCTGCATACCTCCATCCTCGCATTGGTCGACCCCACCCTTCTCCAAACAACTCCTACACCCACAATCATTAGCTAAAGCGCTGCAGCTCCCAGAATGCATTCATGAATCAGGAAATCATCGTATCGACAGGTGGTGCGCCTCACTGGAATTCCAATCAGCCTGGCCTGCTGCCGGCACCGGCCCCTTTTTTTGTTTGGCTAATGGTCGTTTAAATGAAAGTGGAAGTGGGATCAGTCGTTTAATCTGTGTGGCCTCCAAACTGCCAGAGAAGGCCAGACAAGATGAGCCCAACCCGGCCCAGCTGCACGGTTTCTGCTCTCAGGATTATGACACGAGAGAAATTTATGCACATGTAATTTGGGATGTGGTACAGAGAGAGAAAGAGAGAGCGCTGAGAGACAGGGAGGGTGAACGGAGATGAGGACACAGCTGGATGAGAGGGTCTTTATATAGCATCACAACAGATGCCACACCTTGAAGTTTGACGAGAAATGAAAGTTCATGGAAGTTCAAAGGATGACAATGTGCATATGTATGTGACATATTGAGTAGGCACATACAAAGAGCAAGAGCAATGTAAAAATAAATAAATAAATAAAAAACTGTATTCAAAAATTGTATAGATTAATTATTTATGCACTAATAATTATTTATGTATTGTAGTGCATAAAAGTAAATGTATTTAACGCTTTTGAAATAAGTATCTAATGCTCACCAAGGCTGAATTTATTTGATCAAAAATAAAGTAAAAACAGTAATATTGTTCAATTTTAAATTTTAATGTATTTTAAATTGTAATTTATTCCTGGGGAGGCAAAGCTGAATTTTCTGCAGCCATTACTCCAGTCTTCAGTGTCACATGATCCTTCAGAAATCATTCTAATCTGCTGATTTGGTATAGAACCAATTCATGTACATTACATTGTCACAGTGTGTTAGTCTTCTAGCTGAAGAATGGCACTTTAGAAATGACAATAAACTATCACGTTCAGCTAACTGTCATATGAGTCCACGATTGACGTTAACGTCAGCACATTGTAAATCCTGATATAAGTGTTGTGAAACTCGTGTGAGAAATGACAGTCCACAGTGTTTCAGCATCACTTCTCATGTTAGCTTTGGAACACACTTACATCATGCTTCACAACGTGCTGACGTTCAGATCAAGTGTAAACTTATTAGCCCATGTGTGACAGTTGGCCAGAAGTGATGTTTAAAAAAAGTAAAAAAAAAATGTGTATTTTTGATAAAACATTGATTCATCACATGGGTTGTATGGATTACCATTGTGTTCACTTTGTGTGTTTTTAAAGTGTCAACTTTGGAGGTCCCATACTCTTGCATTATATGGACTCTCAGAGATGAAAAAAATCTTCATGTTCTTCTGAAAAAAAAAAAAGAGTGATACAAATCTGGGATGGCATGAGCGTGAGTAAATGATGAGATCATTTTCATTTTTGGGTGGAGTACCCCTTTAAGTTTGAAAATGAGCACTAAGTACCGGGCCACAGCCCTGAAAACATCTGACATTTGTGGTTTAAGAATTAGTTTGAAAAAGCAAGTTTAACTCATCAAGGGCTCATCCTGAAATTTCACCAGAAACGACCAAAGCAAACCACTCTTAAATTGGACTTTCAAGTACATGGTGGTGGTGGATCATAGGGAAATGTTCATTAACAGCAGTATGGAGCATCGGTATGTAGGAGAGGTCTGCTGCAGCTCATTGCAGGGCTGGATTTGTGTGAGAGAAGGTTTATAAATAGCAGGCCACTGATGCACCAGCCAGCGTGACTGAAATGTTCTCTATACAAGCACAGTTCGTGTCACAAACGTAATTACTTCTGTCCCACGGCCTGCTGATGAAATTAAGCAGCTTTTGAGAGGCCTGCTCTCTGGAGGTCTCCAAAACACTTTTGGCTTGAAGATGAGAGTCTAAATGTGTGTCTCGGGATAGCAGCGTGCTTTAATCAGACCCACATACATATTGAAAAAGGGGAGGGGCTATTAATTGTAGTCGTCACCTGATTTAAGGAGAAGTCAGATGTGAGTGTGGACTTTAAATTCATCTTCTCACAGGAAACAAAAATAGAGGCTAGAGCTACATCCCAATTAACAATTAATTTAGTATCCTACTAGATCACAAATAATAGCCTGTTGTCAAATGTACAGTGCATGCAAGTATACGACTTTTGAAGATTTTCGAAGTATAAATGCTGCATGCTCTTTAGAGTAATATTTTTAAAAGACAAAAAAGGGGGGAAATTATTTAAAAAAATTAATAACTAATACATTTTATAATATTGTATATTATAACTATTTTAAAAAATCTCTTAAAATTCTCACTTGTTTAGAATCTTTAGAGGCCACTTTCATTTTTTTTTTTAAATTGATAGCCAACAATTAAATAATATCATCTAACAGTTTGGATTAAAATAAATAAATAAATAAATAATCAATTAAATTTTTTTTTATAATAATAATTTCATAGAATGCATATGAATTAAATCATTATAAAGCTGATTTTTTTTTGTCAGTGCATAAAAGTCAATGTAATTTTAGCATCAAGTTAGCTAAGAATGATGGAGATTGACCCATCCATCTATCATAAATGAATGAATGAACCGTAGGTGGTGAGGCACTAAGGCACTATATTTTGAAATAAACATCTCAAAATATAGATTTTTACATTTAGGTATCAGTATAAGACAAAAATTATAACACTTGTAGAATATCAAAGTACCAGAGGACTGTCATACTACATTCTAAAAAGTATGTGGTATAGCTGGTAACAGTACATACCAAGATGACTTTACAACTTTAACTAACTTTATTTCAAATCCCGTTTAACAGACACTGTAAAGAGAGGGCCATTTGGAGTCTGTCACGCCAAAGATGAATCTCCTGTGGTGGAAGTTAGGAGAAGAGAAATGTGGAGCGTATAATCGGAAAGGTCAGCTGTCTCAGTGTCACTTGTATTCTCCTGTCACACTCAGAAACACTTACTCTCGGTTCATAAGTGCAGGGTTCAGGAAGCAGCTTTCTGCAAGTTATACTCCTACATACCTCATGTCCCCGAGTCTGTCAGTCAAACTCGATGGTGTATTCAGGCAGGAAGAGAGGATAGAGACACATACGCCAGTAACAGTTCAGACACTCTGTGACATCCTTCACACAGTAAACCTGTTCTCTGCCGGCCCGTCTGGCATCCATCACCACAGCAGGTATTAAAAACCTGCAATCCTGCACTATTATGATATTTCGCAGCAGGAGATGTATGGCTTTGATAATTGCCTACGGCAGACTTTTAAAAGGCATCTCATAATTACGGTTCACCTTTATTGGGTTAGCGTGTGTAAGGGGGTGTAGCAGGGGTCGCTGGCTTTCAGAGACTGATGGCTGTGGGTGGAGGGGTCTGTCACATTTTGAGTGCAGGGTGATGGATGGTCACTTGCACTGGTAACCAGCACACACCATTAAAGCTCGCCCTCATACCAGCACGAGACAGAGAAACCCTCCCAGCCAGAGCTTTCATCTTATTTTGATGTAATAAAGATTGTATCGATCAATCAGAAACTCATTATGA